GAAATTTTCAAACTGTCAGTGTATGCGGTAGACATATAGGGCCCCTGCATTGTAGCTCTGCTAGTAGGAGGGGTGGAAGTGACCCTAGTCTAAGAAGAAATGGCAGTAAAGGAATTTCATGCCAGCATTTCAAGAACTAAAGTAACCCAAGCACCGAGAACATATGCAAAGGAGCAGCCAAGGTTTGACAGAGGAGCAAACAATGAAGCTACAGAAGTGACCATACCTCTATGCAGACATTTTCTCCACGGGAGACCTGGACGTTGGGCACCGACTAGATACTAGCAGTAGTCGTCCTATCAATCATAGCCCGAAAAGGATAGCACCTGTACAACGACGTCAGATGGAACAAACAGTCTCTGAAGTAGTAGCACAAGAACTAGTAGAGAAGTCGAATAGCTCTTGGTCATCGGCGGTAGTGTTATTTAAGAAGGATGGTTCTCAACGCCTTTGTGTTGTCTACCGCGCTTTCAACAGTCACCATCAAGGATGCATATTCTCTCAAATGTGTGGATGACATATTAGACTGGTGGATACGCGGTGATTCTCTACACTGGATTTGAAGTCAGGATTCCACCAGGTGCAGATGTCAGGAGTAGAAAAATACAAAACAGTGTTCTCGTTTGGCCAGGGTGTGTAGTAATTCTGAGTTATGTTGTTTGGCTTGTGTAATGCCCCTGCCACCTTCGAACAACTCATGGAGCGATTATTTGGTGGCTACTGTGAGGTCACGGCCAGATCCGGTAAAAATTGAGGTGTGGAGCTCCCTTGGATTTTGCACTTCTTGCCACAGATTCGTGAAGAATTTTGCCTGCATTGCCACATCATAGACAGTAAAGGAACACAGTTTGATTGGAACCCAGAGTGCGAAAATGTTTTTTGTATCATTATCAACATTATTATTATTATTATTATTATTATTATTATTATTATTACCATTACTTTTGTTGTTATCATTATCATCATTATTATTGTTGTTATTATTATCAATGATAATATAATCTCTATCGTTATTGCTCTTATTATTTTTATCATCATTATCATTGTTAATACTATCACTTATTGCCATTATTATTATTATTATTATCATTATGTTTTTAATATCACTATTATTATCATTATTATTATTTTCATTCTTTTATTAATATTGTTATCATCATAGTTATTATAATTTTAATTAATATTATTATCACCATCGATATTATCATTATTGCTGTTCTTATTTTATCACCATAATCATTATCATTTTTTATATAATTTTCATTATTTCTATATCAACATCATTATTATTATTGTCATTGTCATTATTGTTATTACTATTAATGTTATTATTGTTGTTGCTATTATTATTAGTGATAATGATATAATTCCTATTATTATTATTATTATTATTATTGTTACTATAATAATAGTTTTCATAATTATCATTGTTATCATAATCATTATCATTATTATTATTTATTATTATTGATAATAATACTTTCGTTATTAATAATAATACTTTCATTATTATTAACAATACTTTCTTATTATCATTATCATTTTTATTATCTTCATTATTATTATCATCATCATCGCCATCATCATCATCTTTATTAGTATTATTATCATTATTATTATTATTACCATTATTTTCATAATTATTATCATTATCACCATAACCATTATCATTACCATTGTTATGTATTATCATTATTACATCCTCGTCAGCACCACCATCATCCAAAATTACACCGTGCCCCTCCAGCGTAACACAAGATGAACTATTCAAGTTGTGTAATTTCCGCCTCAGGTCTACCTTGGAGTGTACCTGGCTGGCGCTACCTGTTTTTAATCACGGCAGAGACAATGAGATTTCAAAGCAAAAGAAGCATATTTCCCAAATAAAAAACACCTATGTTCCAGACTGTTTTCTTTTTCTGTTCTTTTTTCGCCTACGACAAAAAGATAAGAATCGCCGCAGGTCTGCGATACCCACAAAAACTTGATCTCATGCGGAGGTTAAAAACGGCATTGTGCGGGAGGCTTTGGGCGGCGCTCGACCTCGTCTTCGCTTCTCCTCCCAGCTTATTAACATTCCCCATTTCTCTTTATTTGCCCACTCATTGTTGTGTCAGTTGACATCACATGCAATTCTATAAATGGTGTATTAGAACTATAAAAAATATGAAACCGCTTTCGAAGTCTGCTTTAAGCTGTCCTCAATTTTGCCTTTCAGCTTTCCCTAATTTATCTTTCACAACGTCTTCCTTTCCTTACTTCACCCACCATTTCCAGTGTTACACGTTTGATTTCTTTTTGAGAGCTGCTTCTTCCACCACAGCCACCGCGGCTTCTCATTTCCCATTTCCCTCTATAATGTTCAGAGACTAAAAGATTTTCCATGCAGCCCAGGTAGTACCCGGATGCGCATTAGCTGACTCACTATATCCTCATCTTCCTCTCCGTCCAGCCTCCACCTTCGAGTATTTCAAACCTGAATCTCTGGTCATGATCGAGGTTTAAAAAAAGAGAAAAAATCGCTTTGTAATGTCCAGAAAAAAAAACGTGTGCTTTGGATCCCCAGGATGACCGTCAGCAATTTCCACATCTTGCACCCACTGCATATCCCACATGGTCGGTCCTAAAGGACTGTCATTGTCTCGTTTGACTTTCATCTTTGTTCCGACATTGAATATATCATGTTTCTGTCAAACGTATTTTAAGGTATTTCTTAGAGTATAAATTCTTCACTTGTCGCTGACACAAAATAGCATACCTATTTGTAAAGTATTAGTTACTGTATTTGCACCACAATTGGAACTTCGAGAGGTCATGGTTAATGGTTGAAACAAATAAATGTGCATTATATCAAAGGTCATATAACACTATAGTAAGGTATTGAGGCGAAAAGGGTTAACATGAGTAAACGAATAGGATGAAATGTGTTAGATATCGTAGGTTATAGAGCGTTATAGGATAAGATGCTAGTACAAAGAATATAAAGGGGGCGCAAATTAAATAAAGATTTGTAAAAGAGGAAAGTGTTAAGGGTATGGGGCGATTAGATGATAAAGAATGCATCTGTGGCTGGGGAAGGAAGAGGAACATTGTTTAAGGAAAACTGGCAAAAGAGCCATCATGAAACAATCAACGCGTAATATGGGTATATGTGGGTGCTGGATACGTAGAATAATCTGGGGAATTAAAAAGGGAATTGTGGAAACTGGTGAAATATCAGGAAGAATGTCAACAGGGGAGGGGTCTGGAGGACATTGTTGCGACAGGGAATTCACGTGAGCAGCCAGTTTGGAACGGTACCAATAATTGGGAACGAAGAGGGAATGGTGCACATGGAGGAGTGGCTGGGGTGTGTTGGGAAAGGGTAAGAGGAGGGAGGTAAAAGGAACATGAGGAGGAGGATGGCTATCGGCAAATACTTTGAATGTAGAAGGAAGTGGAACTGGGATTGAAGGGTTAATGAGGGAGTAGAGTATTCCCTTTGGTTATGTTTAGGAACTTTTTCGAGTGTCTTCAAGTGTGGAGGGAGTTGCGGAAGGAATTCTGAAAAACAAAAGGTTCTCATGTGAGGAAAAGAGGGGACAGATGTCCATGGAGCAGAAGAGGAGGGTGTAGAAGAGGATGTGGTAGGAGAAGGTGGAGTGGAACGTTTAAGTTGCCTAGTGCCACAAGTAAAGTGAGGAGGAGGGAAGAAACTGGGGAAGTGGTAGAGTATCTGGATTTATACTGGAAAGGGAATTGGACTGGGTGAAAGGAGGAGTAGAGGTAGGATGGTTCGAGGTATGGGGAAGAGAAATTGGGGAAATACTGAAACATTTTGTGAAGATGGGAGAGGAGCAGAGCGAAGGACAGTTTTGGAATAGGTGGTGAGACAAAAACCTCGTCGGCGTGCTTCCTGTCTGACCTCACATAGAGGCCAATGTATTGTGAAGGATCCGGAACGAAATATAAGTTACTGTTGATGGGAAATTTGTTTATCTTGCACTTTCTTTCCCGCTTCAGTGATAGTAAACAAATATTTACATCAACAGCGTCTCATACTCCTCTACATCAAGATTCGATGTGGAATATGAAATTAATAAAACCGAGCACCGTGACTTAACCTGTGCAACCACCATACAAGTGCCCCACGTTTATAATATTAGAATGTTGCATATTTTGCAGATGTGATTTTTTTCTCTCGAAGTCACCATCTTTTAATTTGGAAATACGAGATTAATATAGTTTTACGTAGCCAAAACTTATTTCCCACTGCAGTAGTTTTGACATTTTCACAGGAATATAACTACAAAATAGTAGTTTTTACATTTTTACAGGAACATAACTACAACATAGAATGCAAATGCCTTTGCGGTTGATGTGTTGCAGGTCTCTATGATATACTTTTAGTGTATGGTCCGACTTCAAAGGCCAAGAGCTACTGGTGTAAGATGTACACTATTAGCTAATGACACTGTGAATACTGGAATTCATATATCCCTATAACACTTAAGGTTATGCAGTTCTGTTTCAACATCCCATGAAAATACCAAGTAATGGTTTAGATAATATAAAAATCAGACCACTTCTGGAATAGGTATATGGTAGTTCATTTCTTTAGATATAATCACAGACTGCACTAGTCTTGTATACATTTTTACTGCTGTTATATATTATGTTATTATTTATTTATTATTACAAATATCATTCCTTAACATAAAATACAAATTTTCTTTACACAAGAACTTAGCTGTAATGAAACAGTGTTACATACATCAGTGCTAAATGATTGAACAATTTTATTCAACACTATGTTTAAATTCTTTCCTGTAAATGATGAGCTTACTTGATACCCTTTACTTCTAATCCAAGGATAATCAAACTATTAAATAGAGAAAATTATTTAATTCTTCGTTCTTACAGTCTAGGTGTTTTTTATCTATGATATTCATTTATTTAAATAAAAATAACATTTCTGAAAATATATCAGGCTCTTTCAAGACAGTAAAGATAAACTTGCATTTGGGAGAAAGAAATTTATTTGTCTTATGGTGTACAGAATATTACAAAAATGTTTTTTATTATTATTTTCAATTGGAGCAGTAAAGAAGGCATGAAATGAGATCAAGAAACCAACTTACAAAACATTAGATTAAACCAGATCCCGAAATTCCCTTCTTATCTCTTCTCACTTCTAGAACAGCATGGGATAATGTAGTTTAACATCACAAAACTTCTCTTCAAAAAGCATTGGTGTTCATCTACACAATATCCCAACTACACCAGCACAATTATTCACAACACCATGCACATTTTTATGACAATACAAAACTGATCATTCCACTAATAAAGTGTGACATGTATGTAACAGTATTGAGCAACAGTGTCAACAAATTACGCAATGAAACTGTTTATGAATGATTTCATATCAAAATCTGTCAAATTTAATTTCCTGTAAGAACAGACTCATTTTATTGATAAAAATAATAATTTGCTTCACACCTAAAAATGTATTTACACATCTTACACAGTGATCTTATTGTTCTTCCAGAAAGTGACCACTGAAGTGTACTAGGTGCCAATAACACTACATGAACTAATTCTTTAAATTACCTACCTTATGCAAATGAGTTTAAATACATCAATACATATAATATGGCAATAAATATGTAAATATCAAATGGTAACAATAAGGCACAAGTTACTTTCAAAAGATATAAATGGATTGTAAGGACTGTAACCAATGCTGTTTACGAACCAAAAAATATATGCACCAGTACGTAGGTTCTGGCAGCATACACTTAAAAATAAATTGGTTATGATAACTCTCAAAATAGTATTCAATTCTTAATCTGCACCTTACTGGCACCAAATTTCCAACGAACTGTAATATATCCCTGTCAAGTGTAACCCTCTATAGATAACAGAGGCCCAAATTTTCTTCACTAACCAAAAGCATTACACCAAAAGATATTTAACAGTATCCCAAAACCCATTGATAAATTTGTAGCCCTACAACTTTCTCATTTACAATCCACTTACTAAACTGTTACACAGTCTTACTACTAACATGCGCTTTATCATCTAAAGCCATGAGAAGGTTTGTATGGACTCTGAGAATGACTTCTGACACTTTGTCAAACGCTCCAACAACATACTGGTATAGATTTTCTGGGGATAAGGGGCCTCTGCAATGAAAAAGAAAAACATTACACTGTATGTAAATTAATTACTAAATTCTAATACAGTTTATAATAGGTTTGTAGAGACTTAAGTGGATAACAAATAGAAATAAATAACTAGGGGAGGAGAAGAATGAGTAACAAAGAGCAGAGGGAGAGGATAAGGAAAAAGTAGAATAATATTGAACAGAATATTGTGTAGAGAATAAAAATTAACCTAAAACATACTTACACAAATACTCGTGACATCATTAATTCTTGAAAATTTAACAAGTAGGGTCTAGCAGTATTTCCAACGGAAGATGCAAGCGAGCAGACACCTTCAAAAACAGCACTTCCGTAGTAGATTAAAGACTCGCTTAATCCAGGGATGGCAGTATCCAACTATAATAGAAATGGGTGTGGAAAAGAATTCTCAAATTAATAAGTAAATTAGTTAACCAAGGTAGATACAAAGAGAAAGAAAATTAGTTTTTGCTATGTTGCTACTGTTTCCTGATGATAAAAAAAGGAAGGCACATCTATTTTCTATACTTTTACATCAAACCTATTATCAAAAAAGAAATTTAAGAGATGAACTCTTAAACCAATAATTTACCTATTATAAGAGACTCACTTTTGTTTTAATGACAGGGAGGTATTCTGAAGTTGCCTCAACTCCACTCATTATATAGCCCCACACTGCCTCTGCTTTAGCTAGAACCAGCAGTAAGTACGGTCCAGCCAGTTCACACCCACGACCATAGTATAGTGGAATGTTTAGTATAGACCATCTGAAAAAAGGAAAGAGTAATGATTAGATTCATTACCTTGTTTGGCAATTTTGGTTTGTGGCTTCCAAGGGCATTCAACATCTTTATCATCTCTGACAAAGTGTGGGCCATGTTAGTAAGTTTTTGCTCTAACCTCTAAAGGAAATTACAGCTTCTGTCTTGGTCATTATTAGCCAATAAAAAATTGGTTTCCCTTTTTATTATATAATAATAATAATAATAATAATAATAATAATAATATAATAATATAATATGAATAATAATAATATTATAATAATAATAATAATAATATAATAATAATAATAATAATAATAATAATAATAATATTAATATTAATAATAATAGCATTAATAATAGCATTAATAATAATAATAATAATATTAATATAATAATAATATTAATATTAATTATAATAATATTAATATTAATATTAATATTAATATTAATAATAATATTAATATTAATAATAATATTAATATTAATAATATATCAATATTAATAATAATATTAATATATAATAATATTAATATCAATAATAATATTAATATTAATAATAATAATAATATTAATTTTAATATTAATAATAATATTAATAATAATAATAATATTAATAATAATAATAATATTAACAATAATATTAATAATAATAATAATAATAATAATATTAAGACAAAGAAGAAAAGGAAACATATGAAGGAAAAGGCAAAAAATTAAGGAAGAAGCAAAAGAAAGAACTATGAAAGAGGAAGGAAGAAAAGGAAGAGAAAAGAAGAGAAAAATTAAAATAAGAGAGGAAAAGAAAAGAACAAGAAGGTAAGAAGAAGAGCAAAAAAAAAAAAAAGAAAAAGAAAAGAAGAGAGTGAAGAAGATAAAGAAAAAAAAAGGGAAAAAGAGATAAAAAAGAAGAAAAGCAGGAAAGATGAGAAGAAGAAATGATTATGACAATCTAACTCTAGTATTTAGCCTCTTTGTTTTTGTTAAAAAGAAAGAAAATCAGAAATTTGCATTACTCACTTGTACGACTGAACAAACAACTTTTTCAGTGTTCTCCCAACAACCTCAATATATGGCACGAGTCCAAGCCTCTCGAATACCTGGCCAATCTTTGATCCTGATAAAAGTTAGGAGGATAAATGCATGGACACATTAAATAAACTTTATAAAAATCTAGAAATTTCTTAAATACATATAACCATTGACTTTAAGGCCTTGTCTATGTAATGACTATTATGTATAATTCCATGTAAAATTCAATTATTCACAGAAGCAATACGTTATATTTGTTTGTACTACAAGTGCACATGCCTACATATTTTGTGTATTTTGTAAAAAATATGTTTCACACAAATATCACATTTATATCTATGGGTGCATGTGACCTGCCTACACACAAACACATGCAAAAGTAAGTAAAAAATTCAAGCAAAAATAAAAGCAACTTACCATAAAAAGATCCTGCACTTCTTATATCCCAGACAATAACTGTTACAAGAAGTATAACCAAAAGCTTTGTCATATATGGTCGGGATGTTTTCTTTTTTGCTACTTTCATCTCCTC